ATACTGTTGTTAATAATAATTTGCAATGAAAAAATACATTAGTGATTAATAATACCTTCTGGATATTCTTTTGCTTGCCTTTTATTAATTTTATAAATTGATGCAAGATTGCCATAATTATTTTCATAATCAGAGAATTTTTTCCAAAGTACTTTAGCCTTATCACTTGGTATTGATAATAAAGTACATTCAAATAAAGCCAATGCATCTTGATTATTATTATCCAAAAAAAAAAAATAAATAAAAATGGACATAAATAATTAAATGATTTATACTAAATAATAAAAAAAATATTATTACTAAAATAAATAAATATTTACTATTGTCATCATTTAGTGATATCAAAAAGTCAAGGAATTGAACTACATAATCTGGATCATTCATAAATGACTTTAAACCTAATTTGAATATTTTGCCCACAACTACCAAATCCTTATTACAATAATACTTCATCATTGCTAAAGAAATTAATTATTAAAATTGGCATTTTAGATATTATAATTATTTTTTTTAAAAATTAATTTTAAAATTATTAATCATACCAGAAGCTATAAATACATGATGTGTACAATATGGAGATTTCCTTGCTTTACTAAACATTGTCCTTGCTACTTTCATTCCCTATAATTTTCAATTTAAGCATAATAAATCTTTGATATATTTTTTTTGACTGATCAATAAATGATAAACCTACTCCTATATGCCTTTCAAATCTCATCTGCATAATCCAAATCAAACCACAAGATTTTGCTATTTCATTAATTTGATTTTTTTATTTTCTTCTATTTTAGCTTGTTCCTTTTCTTTTTCCTTTTCTTTAGTACATAATTGTTCACGAGTTTCTCCATCCAATTCCATTTGAACAGAATTGTCTGTAGGAGAACTGATTGGTTTATTTAATTCATTTATTTCTTTCTTCAATAGATTTTATTTTTTCTTGCAACCTGTCTAACAATGATTTGAATGCATTTCTTACCTCCTCAAATTGTTTATGATCTTCTTGTAAATCAGCATATGCAAAATGTATAAGAAAACTAATGTAATAAAGTGATAATATATGTATTGTATTACTCATTACTTGGATTCATCAATTTTTTATAATTGGTAAATTACAAATTTCATATAATCATATCTTTTTGAAAAACAATCTTACCTAGGCATTATTTCTATTGCATTTTTAAGTGTCAAGACAGCCTCATATTCTTTTTAACTGATTGCAAATAATTAGATGCTTCAAACCTAAGAATGATTTAACAAATAAACTTTAATAATCAAATGAATAGATTCTTTATCTTGTTTATAACAAGAAGGCAATTACCATAATTCTGGATAAAAACTTAAATACATCATTTCTTGTTTACATGCATACATAACTCTCTCTTTGTGAAAGAGCAGGTTGATCTTCTAAAGATAATGGATTTGATTTCTCCCAATCTATCCAATCTTTCCAATATGATGGCTATTCATTATAAATATTTTTATTGTGGGGAAACAAAAATTTAAATTATTAGACAAAAAGCTAGCACACGTTTAAAAATTATTAGCACAAAAATGTACATAATAATAATTAAATAAAAACTGTCATTTCGTATCTTAGGTTCACCAAATTATATGTGCAAAGTTTTACATCTCTAACATTTTCACTAAACCAATGGTTAAAAAAATAAAATTCCGACCAAAAATTTTTTGACGAAACATTGCTCATTTCAAAAAAATTTGATTGTTCAAATATGCATATAATGATCTCATCTGAAATTTTGATATGTGATGACAGACATCTTTATTAAACAGCTATGTTGATTTGAATTTTTTTGCAACGAGGTATCATTTTTAATAAATTTTTGATCAAATCTACTGGAATTTTTTTATATAAAAGTGTTAGCCAATGAATATTGAGGGTGATCGTTTTTCGTCAAAAAATCTTTTGCACATATAACTTGGTGAACCAAAGATATGAAATGACAGTTTTTATTTAATTATTATTATGTACGTTTTTGTGCTAATAATTTTTAAACGTGTGCTAGCTTTTTGTCTATGTAGTGTAAATAGATGATAAAAAAATTTAACAATTTTACCTGTAATTTTTCTTAATTCCTTTACTGTGGTTCTAGCTGTCATATATATGATGGTGATTTATCATGTAAAATTTTTTTGGCCTAAAAATAATAAAACAATAAAATCGATAAATAATTTTTTAAAAAAAGTTTTCTAGAAATAAATCATTTTAGCTCACAGAGTTAATTTATTTAAAATTGCATATTAATATTCTTTCCAAATTTGTTCAACATTATTTAATAGTATACATATAGTTTTTGATAAATTTTTCTCAATGTATCCATTTTCTGTTGTTCTGCCCAAGTATTGAGTTTCACCGGTTTTTATAAATTGAATATATTGTGCTGGAATCCTTATCCAAACCAATTAGATGTATAACAAATTCATAAGCTTTTATAATTATGTCTCTGGCTTCTAAAATATAATTCAAGTAAAATTTACATAAATCAACAGATAAAACAGTACAAATGCAACATGTAAATATTGATTCCACTTTATCAAAATTCTTGTTCTTATTAAAATACTTGTTTATTTATGTTATGTTTAAATTATATTTATAATAAAGAAAAAAAAATCCGAATGAACATTTTATTAAATATATTAAATAATTATTATTATATTATTATTGATAATATTGGAACAAGTAAAGTCTGTTGAACATACAAGTGATTGCGAGAAAGAGAAAGAAAGAAATCTACTAAAATGTTTGAATATTGTAAATGATTATAAAAGATTAAAGATATGCGATGATGCATTAAAACAAGGTATACTCCTACTGATTTCCATAACATGTCCCGGAGGACTTTATCCATCAATCTCTGGAAAGTTCCAGGAGCATTCGTCAATCCGAAAGGCATAACTGTGAATTCAAAGAGTCCATGATGTGTGATAAAGGCAGTTTTTTGGATATCTTCTGGTTTCATCAACATGTAAGTTTCTCGATCTGATCACACATATATATATGTCTTCTCGTGTGTTGTGATTCGGACAATGTATAGGACAACTCAGACATTGTTTTTTTCTCAGTGGTTCCTCCTATATAATAAATAAAGCAAGGTTAACATTTTACCTTTTAAAAAAATGTGATTTGTTTATACTATATACAGCACAGTATACCTCTTCATCAAAGGAGAGTCCTTAGAATTTGACGGTTTTTTAGGTAGCAAGAAACTTCATTATGTTTTTTCTAAAGGCGAATTTCTGGCTACCTACCTCGATGACGGTGGCGACCGCGGAGGTGAGAGTGATGGCGGCGATGGCAGCGATGGCGTTTGTGAAATCTATAAATATAAGTAAATAGTTAAATGCTGCAATCATTACCAACATTTAATATTTTAATTTATATTTACATCTTTTTACACCTTCTTGGTGGTGCTCCATAATTATAGTATACACATTTTGTTTTTTCTTTGAGGATTTCCTGGCACCTAAATTATGTTCATCATCATCATTGATTGTCATTATGATCTTGTGTAACAGGGTTGGCAAACTGAACAGATAGATTTTGGAGTGGTCCATTGCCATTAATGAAATACTAAATATGGTTAAGGTGTTACACTAATGGACCAATGGACCGCATATTTGCCAACCCTGTTGTGTAGAAGATGCAGAAAATCCACACATGTCAGCAGAAGAATCTAAATCTTCTTCATTACATTCATAGTCATCAGATTCATTATTATTACAGTCCACACTGTCTATAACGGATCATTGGGACCAGGGAAATTTGTCCGTTATAGAGAGAATCTGGTATAGAAAATCGTACTACATTAAGTCATGTGGAATAAAAAAATTTTTGTTATTTAAAAAATATTATTCAATACTAATATTTTAAAAAACAGTGTTTTGTTGAATTGAATTCTATTTTTTAATTTTCTTTTTGACATTTTCAATTCCTCATTGTAAATTTCTTAAACTGTTGTTCAACAAACAAGTTTACCTTTTCAATAGCCAATAAAGCATCTTGACTTGAAATAGGATATGTCCCTTCGATGTCTTCTTCATCCTGATTTTCTTCATTGAAATTCGACATAGAAATTATCATTTATTTCAAATAAATGTTTTAATTTTTTTGTTGGATTTTTATAGATTTTTTTATTTTGCGATTAGTAATTTTTATTAATAATAATAATGTTTCGCCGATCATGTGTAGAAATCTATTATTGAAGAGATAATCAATCATCTATAATCATTAACTGCTTATAATAACAATTGGTCAACTTCAAAATACTAAAACAAAAAAAAATTATCTCATTTTAAAAAATTTAACCGAT